TGTGTCTCTGTCATCTGCTCACGCTGCTGACGGCGTCGGCTTTTGAACCCTGAGGCCTGTGTAGGCCTTCAATTGAAGCTGCTTCTGCTCCGCCACTCTGCCATTGGACTCATTGATAGTCGTCTCCCACGCTGCTGCTGGGGGGACTTTTTTAACTTAGGCCTCTGTATGGCCTTCAATTTTTAGCTGCTTACGCTCAGCCACTCTGCCATGGGCCCCTTGTACCGCCTCCTCTTGCTGCTTGCCAGGGTCCCGTAATCTGCCATGGGCCCCCGTACGACTCCTCATGCTGCTGCCAGGTCCAGAGTGTGTCATGGGTCCCTGTACGGCCTCCCATTGCTGCTGTCTCCATCGCCACACTCTGCCATGTGCCACTTTCAGGTCTCCTCACACTGCTGGTGGGTTCCATTTTTGTCATAGGGTGCTGTATGGCCTCCCATTGCTGCTGCCTCCACGCCACACTGTGGCTCCACACTCTGGTTTTGGCCCCGTGACTGCCCAAATGAGTGAAGTGTGTGCGGTGATTCTAAGATCGACGGCACTCATCTGCATGTCATACTGACTGACAGTATTATTTCTCTTCCCCAGCAGACTCCAAGGGCATTTAAATTAAAGGTACAGTGTTCTGCACTAATATAAAGGCTCTCTGAAGCCTAGAAACACCCTTTTTATAAGTTAAATTCGCAGCGAATATATTCGGCACGAAGCGAATTTAATCGGCGAATTCGGCGAATCAGCCGAACCGAATTTTTGAATAATTCACTCATCTCTAATTAAGATTCTCAGGGACAGTATCAGTGACACTGTACTGTCGCATCACATGAATTGCATATGTAATAATTTAGTTGACAGTATTCATTGATTTACATACAGCAGCAGCAACCCACTTTAAATAGTTAAATTAGACTGTAAATTTTCACATATTTTAAATAAATTCTGTATAGATTTTAGACAGAGAATCCCATCCTTAATAATGGGGAGGCCAATTTAGAGACAGGGATGGCTTGTTTTAGCAAGAAATTGTAAAGGAAACTGTACTTATGTACACACAAACAGCAGGCATGGTACACATTTTAGGACATAATCTAATGCTTTTTCAGATTAGGCAAATATGGAGGCAGAGATTCAGTGTATTTCTGCCAGCAAAGAAACAAAACATTTTAAGACATTAAGACACACTGGGAGAGATTTACTAAAACGGTAGCACTCAGAATCAGGTGCAACTGTGCATAGTAGCCAATCAGCCTCTAACTTCAGTTTCTTAAATTAAGCTTTGACAATAACCTGGAGGCTGATTGGTTTCCATGCAGAGCTGCACCAGATTTTACACGCTACAGTTTTAGTAAATCTTCCTCAGTGTATAACATTTTCACAGATCTGAGGCTTATAAACATTTCTTTTTAGAAGGCAAATTTACGATGCAGGGAGATGTTATATTTCAGCCAGCAAAAGTCAATCAGACTGTTATTTTTCTGACTCATAATCTAGAAATCATACTTATTTTATGTACAGAGTGTAAATAGTGCTTATCAGAGACAATTTGAGAGCAAGAAAGCAGGCTGTAAATCCAGAAATGTTACTTTATTTTCCCTGGGACAAAGGAGAACACAAATATGTTTTCAAAGCATGTTTTATAGGCCAGAATTTCAGAGGTAAAGAGTGAGAATGGACATTGTCACTGTTTTTTTTTTTTTTTTAAATTTAAATATTTATTAATTTTTCCAATTTAAATACATATCATCATCACATTATATATATAAAAAAAAATATATATATAATATAATATCTAACATTATACCTTATTTTCTCTTTCCAGGGAGGAATATTTCTCTATCCCTCTCACTCCTCCTCCCCCCACCCTATCCCCATCTCCCTTCCCTGCATTTTCTCTCTATCTTCTTATAAGAGCAAGTAAAATTTTTCCTATCGTTCTCTTTATATTTTCCTATATTTCATGTATAATCTGGCTTTTTCCCAAATTCTCCCATTTCCCATAGTAGACCTCCATCTTATCTTTTTGAATATGGCAGAGTTTTTCCATCTTTCTAATCTGCTCCACTCTTTCTATCCAGTCCTCTTCCTTCGGCACCTCCACTTTCCGCCAGAACTTGGGTATCAGACCTTTTGCAGCATTTAGATAGTACCATATGCCTGATTTTTTTATATTTATTCACTGTTATATCCATATTGTGCAAGATACATACTTCTGGGTCTAGCCCTATGTCTATTTCAGTTATCTTTTCTATCAAATGGGTTATTGTCTGTTAGGAATGGACTGGCCAGCAATGGTGGGACTCACCTGCCTTTTGATCTGCATGCAGTACCAGGGCTGGCCAGCGGGTGCTCCCAGCAATCAGAGACTCAACCTTTCAGCCAGCTAACACCTGGAACTGATGATACTGGTGTATTTAAGGGATGGCCAGACTTGCAGACTCTGCCTTGGTGTTGTGTTTGTCCTGGGCCCTGTATCTGTCCTGCATCCTGTTTCTGTTCCCTTGCTGACTTCTCCTGCTCTGATCCTGGCTTGTGACCCTGACCATCCCTCTGTCTGACCCTCTGTACTACGCTGCTTGCTACCTGTTCTGATCCCTGGCTTGTGACCCGGACCATCCCTCTGCCTGACCCTCTGTACTATGCTGCTTGCTACCTGCTGAACCTGGCCTGTGACCCCGACATTCTCCGCTTGCTCCCCCTGTACCTACCTGCCCAATTGATATTGACCCGGCCCTGCCTGACGACGCTTGCTTGTATATACTGTTATCTGTGGGTGGTTTGGTTTGGTTTGTTTGCACCGTATTATGTTTTAGTATTGCACTGCGTTTATGTTTTGTACTGTTAGTGTTAATAAATTATATTGTATATAACATATCTGAAGTCTGCGTTTCCCTGCTTCAGTCACACACCTCTGGTCATACCTGGGAGCCCTGACATTACACCAAGGCCAATCCTGACCAGAAGTGGCTGCACAGGGAAGCCATCTTGGCTTGTTGATGATGGGAAGGATGGATCTTGAGGAGGTTGAGTATTTATATCTGCTAGTGTTTGATGACAGGGAGTATGCTTATCAAACTCTGAAGGAGTATACCGGGATGAATTGCTAGAATGTATACGGCTCGCTCATGTTCTAGTAGATCAGGGCACAGTGTTCTCTGAGGTGCAGCCATTGATTGAGGTTTGTGCAGAGTTGGTTTCATCTGGTTCCCCCGAATGCAGGGATGAATTTTTGCCACCATTTAGTGCAGACCAGGTAGAGTCCCTGGTGTGGTTATTAGAGGATGATGTGGGTTACTTTCTGGAGCGTTATTCCACATGTTCACCACAGACACTAAGAGATTGTATAAAAACGCAGTACAGTCATTGACCAGACAGGCTTTGTGTAAGCTCAGCTTTGTTCAACCCCTACTGCAGACATGGACAGATTTGTTGCACCCAGCCTCAGTCAGCTTACAAAGACCCAGTCCTGCTTCTAACTCTACTCCTGTATTCCCACCAGCTCCTCCAGTTACAGCCCAGTATACTTGGCTATCTACCGCATGTCAGTACCCTGTTCCCACTCGCTGCACCTATCCTGCCTTTAACCCTGTAAAAAAGCCCTCTGTAGCAACCGCTCCCTCTCCTGTTCCATCCTCCAGTTCATCTCTGTCTCCAGCTGCTCCATTCGTTTGCAGACCTGCGTTTACTTGCAGTGCTCCAGTAGTTTAAAACCAGAAAAAAGCGAAAATTCTTTCCAACCAATACCATCCTGCCAGTATCCAAAAACCGGTGAGCCTGCCTTCCGTGGTTCAGACTGATGCCTGTACGCAGCCTGATGCCTCTACTCGGCCTGAAGCCTCTACGCGGCCTGAAGCCTCTACTCGGCCTGAATCCTCTACGCGGCCTGAAGCCTCTCCTCGGCCTGAAGCCTCTACTCGGCCTGAAGCCTCTACTCGGCCTGAAGCCTCTACTCGGCCTGATGCCTGTACTCGGCCTGATGCCTGTACTCGGCCTGAAGCCTCTACGCGGCCTGAAGCCTCTACGCGGCCTGAAGCCTCTACTCGGCCTGATGCCTGTACTCGGCCTGATGCCTCTCTTCAGCCTGAAGCCTCTACTCGGCCTGATGCCTCTACTCGGCCTGAAGCCTCTACTCGGCCTGATGCCTCTACTCGGCCTGATGCCTCTACTCGGCTGATGCCTCTACTCGGCCTGAAGCCTCTACTCGGCCTAAATGCCTCTACCCAGCATGATGAACTGATCCAGCCTGTCGATCCTATTAGGCCAGTTGACTCGATGCCCGCTGTTGATCCAGATGATCCTGGTACCTGATCCGGTGCCCGCTGTCGTGCCAATTGACTCAGAGCCCGCTGTCGTACCTGGTGACTCGGTGCCCACTGCCTTGCCAGATGACGCGGTGCCCGCTGGCAAGCCAAATGACCTGATGCCTGGTGACCTAGTGTCCGCTGTCATACCTGATGACCCGATGCCGCTGTCGAGCCAGACAATCCGGTACCTGATGACCCGGTGCCCACTGTCGTGCCCTGTTGACTCGGAGACCCACTGCCTTGCCAGATGACGCGGTGCCCGCTGTCGAGCCAAATGACCTGATGCCTGGTGACCCGATGCCCGCTGTCCAGCCAGACGATTCAATGTCTGCCCCGGTGCCCGCGGTCATGCCAGTTGACTCGGAGCCCACTGCCTTGCCAGATGACGCGGTGCTCGCTGTCGAGCCAAATGACTTGATGCCTGGTGACCCGATGCCCCGCTGTCCGGTCAGACGATCCAATGTCTGACCCAGTGCCCGCGGTCATACCAGTTGACTCGGAGCCCACTGCCTTGCCAGATGACGCGGTGCCCGCTGTCGAGCCAAATGACCTGATGCCTGGTGACCCGATGCGATCCCCGCTGTCCAGCCAGACCATCCAATGTCTGACCCAGTGCCTGCGGTCATACCAGTTGACTCGGAGCCCACTGTCGTGCCTGGTGTCTCTCGGTGCCCGCCGCTACCGCCTGGGGGCCCGAGACCTGTTGCCTCCGCTTGGGGATCCCGGCGCCCGCCGCCCCGCCTGGGGGCCCGAGACCTGTCGCTCCGCCTGAGGGCCGAGACCTGTCTGTCGCTCCGCCTGGGGGTCCGGCACCTGCCACTCTGCTTGAGGGCCCGAGACCTGTCGCTCCTCCTGGGGGTCCGGCGCCCGCCGCTCCGCCTGAGGGCCCGAGACCTGTCGCTCCACCTGGGGGTCCGGCGCCCGCCGCACTCCGCCTGAGGGCCCGAGACCTGTCGCTCCATCTGGGGGGTCGCGCCCGCCGCTCCGCCTGAGGGCCCGAGACCTGTCGCTCCTCCTGGGGGTCCGGCGCGCACCGCCGCTCCGCCTGAGGGCCCGAGACCTGTCGCTCCGCCTGGGGGTCCGGCGCCTGCCGCTCCGCCTGAGGGCCCGAGGACCTGTCGCTCCTCCTGGGGGTCGGCGCCCGCCGCTCCGCCTGAGGGCCCGAGATCTGTCGCTCCGCCTGGGGGTCTGGCGCCTGCCGCTCCGCCCTAGAGGGCCCGAGACCTGTCGCTCCGCCTGGGGGCTCACGATGCCTGCCCGCCCCGCCTGGGGGCCCGATGCCTGTCGCCACCTCCTGGGGCCCGGTTGCCTGTCGCCCCTCCTGGGGGCCCGGTGCCTGTCGCTCCGCCTGGGGGCCGGTGCCTGTCGCCCCGCCTGGAGGCCCGGTGCCTGTCGCCCCGCCTGGAGGCCCGGTGCCTGTCGCCCCGCCCGGGGGCCCGGTGCCTGCCCGCTCCGCCCGGGGGCCCGGTGCCTGCCGCTCGCCCGGGGGCCCGGTGCCTGCCCCCCCGCCGGGGGCCCGGTGCCTGCCGCTCCGCCTGGTGGCCCGATGCTGCCCTCGCCCTGGTCCTGCCCGATGTGCCTCTGCCCGGAATCCTGCCCGATGTGCCTCTGCCCGGAGATAGTCCTGCCCGATGTGCCTCTGCCCGGGAGCCTGCTGATCGTGCCCTGGGGCCGGTGCCTGCTGCTTCCGCCCGGGGGCCCGGTGCCTGCTGCTCCGCCCGGGGGCCCGGTGCCTGCCTGCTCCGCCGGGGGCCCGGGGCCTGTCGCTCCGCCCGGGGGCCCCGGTGCCTGTCGCCCCGCCCGGGGGGCCCGGTGCCTGTCGCCCGGGGGGGCCCGGTGCCTGTCGCGCCCCGCCCGGGGGCCCGGTGCCTGTCGCCGCCCCGGGGGGCCCGGTGGCCTGTCGCCCCGCCCGGGGGCCCGGTGCCTGCTGCTCCGCCCCGGGGGCCCCGGTGCCTGCTGCTCCGCCCGGGGGCCCGGTGCCTGTCGCCCCGCCCGGGGGCCCGGTGCCTGTCGCCCCGCCCGGGGGCCCGGTGCCTGCCGCCCCGCGCCGGGGGCCCGGTGCCTGCCGCCCGCCCGGGGGCCCGAGTGCCTGCCGCTCCGCCTGGTGGCCCGCTGCCTGCTGCTTCGCCTGGTAATCCGATGTGCCTCTGCCCGGGAGTCCTGCCGAATGTGCCTCTGCCCGGAATCCTGCCCGATGTGCCTCTGCCTGGAGTCCTGCCCGATGTGCCTCTGCCTGGAGTCCTGCCTGATGTGCCTCTGCCCGGTGTGGCCTCTGCCCGGAGTCCTGCCGATGTGCCTCTGCCCGGAGTCCTGCCCCGGTGTGCCTCTGCCCGGTGTGCCTCTGCTCGATGTGCCGCTGCCCGGAGTCCAGCCCGGTGTGTCCGCTGCCGGAGTCCTGCCCGGTGTGCCAGTCTTTGATTATCCGCCAGTTGCCAGACCCGGGCGGTGGGGGACATTTTGCCCCAGCTAGGACTGTTTGGAGCGTCCTGAGGCCGCTCCTTGAGGGGGGGGTACTGTTAGGAATGGACTGGCCAGCAATGGTGGGACTCACCTGCCTTTTGATCTGCAGTACCCAGGGCTGGCCAGCGGGTGCTCCCAGCAATCAGAGACTCAACCTTTCAGCCAGCTAACACCTGGAAACTGATGATACTGGTGTATTTAAGGGATGGCCAGACTTGCAGACTCTGCTTGGTGTTGTGTTTGTCCTGGGCCCTGTATCTGTCCTGCATCCTGTTTCTGTTCCTTTGCTGACTTCTCCTGCTCTGATCCTGGCTTGTGACCCTGACCCATCCCTCTGTCTGACCCTCTGTACTACGCTGCTTGCTACCCCTGTTCTGATCCCTGGCTTGTGACCCGGACCATCCCTCTGCCTGACCCTCTGTACTATGCTGCTTGCTACCTGCTGAACCTGGCCTGTGACCCCGACCATTCTCCGCTTGCTCCCCCTGTATCCTACCTGCCCAATTGATATTGACCCGGCCTGCATGCCTGACGACGCTTGCTTGTATATACTGTTATATGTGGGTGGTTTGGTTTGGTTTGTTTGCATCCCGTATTACGTTTTAGTATTGCACTGCGTTTATGTTTGTACTGTTAGTGTTAAATAAATTATATTGTATATTAAACATATCTGAAGTCTGCGTTTCCCTGCTTCAGTCACACACCTCTGGTCATACCTGGGAGCCCTGACATTGTCTTCCAAAATACTTGGATTTTTGGGCATCCTCACCATACATGGTATACGTACCTATTTCTCCACATCCCCTCCAACGCAGCGGTAAATTCTCTCCACACATCCTATTTTCTACATTTGGTGTAATGTGCCATCTTATCAAACACTTATAGTTCATTTCAAACATCTCTCATAGAAACGTTTTCGTGAGTTAATCTATATATTCTCCTCTGTTTTTCCTCATCTATCACAACTCCCATATCAGTTTCCCATTTTGCTATTTATGTTGGCTTTGTGTTTGTGTCTAATTCAGTGAGTACTTTATAAACTCTAGCAATCCATGTTGTTTCCCATCACCTTGTGTCCCCAATAACTTTTCAAACAAGTTCCAGTTATCTCTTGTCCTTAGAGGTTTTGAAAGATTTCCAATAAAACATCTCAATTGAAAATACCGCCACTCATCTAATTTAGTGAAAATCTCTCCCTTTTTTTTTTCCAATTCCTTAAATGATCCTAGTTTACTCTCCACCAAAATATCTCCTTATTGGACCTCATCTTTTTTTTAAAACCCACCTACCTCCTATTTCTTCTCTACCTGGGGGAAAAAAAAACTCTGTGTTACTCAGTGGCATCAATGTTGAATTAAAAGCCCATTTCATATTTTTGTGTAAGTTATCCCAGGTCGTTAAAACATTTAAAGTGTATGTATTTACATTATCTTTTAAACCCCTACACTGTGTTGGCACCCATATCACTCTACCTAAGTTTGTTCCGCTGAGTTTGTTCTCAATTCTCACCCAACTTTTCTTATGGTTATACATCCAATCTATAATTTTCTTGCAGTATTACTGCTTTAAAGTATCTTTTAAAGTCTGGGAGCCCTAATCCACCTCTCTCTTTTCTCCTACTCAACACTCATATGTATACTCTTGGCTTTTATTCCTCCATATGTATCCTATTATCAATTTCTTAATTACTTTAAAAAAAGGCTTCTGGGAGTTTAATTGGGATCATTTGATTATCTATATAAAATTTTAGGTACTATTACCATTTTTACCATATTTATACGCCCTATCCATGTCGGGCCTCCTCCTTCTGAAATGTTTAATTCCTCTCTAATCTCGTTTATCAATGAAATATAGTTTTAGTTTATATAGATGTTTATATGAAGCTGTAAGTTTTACTCCTAAGTATTTTATATCTCTATCTTTCCATTTAAAGGGAAATTCCTTTTGTATCTTTTCTTTTTCATTTTTTAAAATATTTATATTTAGAATCTCCGTTTTTGTTGGGTTGATCTTTAAATTTGACAATTCCCCATATTCCTTTAATAGCTTAATTAAATTTGGAAGTGTTATCCTGGGATTTCCTACATAGAACAACAAGTCATCCGCAAAAGCCGCAACTTTATGCTCTGTGTTATCTATCTGGATTCCCTTTACATCTCTATTCAGCCTTATCGTTGACAACAGTGGTTCTAATGATATAACATACAGCAATGGGGACAGTGGGCATCCCTGTCTTGTTCCATCTGACATTTCAATGGGTTTTCGACCTCTCCCCATTTACCACAATAACCGCAGAGGGGTATCTGTACAACTTTCCTATCCACTCTCTCATTCTAGGCCCGATTCCCAGAGTTTCAAGGGTATCCATCATGAATCTCCAGTCCACTCTGTCAAAACGCTTTCTCAGCATCGATCGAGAGTAGCACTACCGGCTCTTTTCCCTTTTTTTGACAAGCATCAGTGATCGTAGCCCATTATCTTTGCCCTCCCTCCCTGGGACGAAGCCCACTTGGTCCTCATGTATCCATTCGGGCATTAGTTCTTTCAATCTATTTGCTAAAACCTTTGCGTATAGCTTAGTGTCGGTATTCAATAATGAGATAGGTCTATAGCTCGAACACTGAGAGGCGTCTTTTCCCTCTTTTTGAATGAGCACCACATGAGCTTGTAGCAATTCTCTTCTTACTTCCATCTCTCCACCTAAAGCATTCATGTAGTTTCTAAGTTTAGGTACTAATATTTCACTATATTTTTTATAGTATCTCACCGTATAACCGTCTGGTCCTGGACTTTTCCCTGATGCTGTATTTTTTTTTTAATGCTATTTTTATTTCTTCCTGTGAAATTTCTGCATCTAGGGAGTTCAGTTGTTCCTCTCTTAGTTTTAATAACCCAGCCATCTCCAAGTATTTCTTTCTTTTTTGATTCCTCACACTTTCTGTATTTTTTAATCCTTCTGGTGGGCTTAAGTTTATACAATTTCCTATAATATTCCATAAAAACTTTGGTGATTTCTTTATTTGAGTGTACCAGTTCCACCCTTAGCATTTTTTATTTTTTCTATATAATTCCTATTTTTCTTTTTCCTCTGGGCTCTCATCAAATACTTTCCAGGTCTTTCTCCCCATCTATATCTCTCATTTAAAACTTTGTTTATATACTCTTCTCCTCTCCCATTACAACTTCTAGTTCTTCTTTTTTTTTTTTTTTTATCTTCAACTCTATTTCTTTTGTTATTCTTTCTTCTTTTGTATTTGTTCTAATTTACTTATTTCTTCAAAGAGCCCACACATTTTTCTCTCTTCTTTCTTTTTTGCCCCAATCGCTATCAATACCCCTCTTATATATGCCTTATGAGATTCCCACTCTGTGGCCATTGATACCTCTCCTGTCTCATTCTCCTTAAAAAAGCGTTCGATCTCCTCACTGATTTTCTGAGCAATATCCTTTTCTAATAAGAGTGCCTCGTTCAATTTCCATCCCAGCCCTCCTATTGTCCTCCTTCCCATTCCATTTTCATAATAACTGGGGCGTGGTCCAATAGAGACATTGTCTCTATCCTACCTGAATCAGATGTTCAATTAATTGATGCTCTATTAATATATAATCTAATATTGAGTACCTCTTATGCATATTTGAGAAAAAGGTGTAGTCCCTATCTTGCATATGTGTGATTCTCCAGGCATCTACCAGTTGGCATACATGTATTTCTTTTTTCAATAATTTCAGGGCCCTACATCCCTCTCTCTGTGTATGGGAAGTAGCATCTTTTTCTGGGTCCATACAAAAGTTAAGATCTCCTGCCAGAATCAGACGGCTTTTTTTAAAATCCATCAGCTTCCTCAACACTTTTTTCAAAAACGCCTCCGGCCTTATATTAGGACAATAGATATTAGCCAGTGTACACTCAATCTCCTGTAGCTTGCCCTTTAAAAACAAAAATCTGCCCTCTGGGTCTGTTTTTCTATCTTCCAACTCAAACCTAATATTCTTTGCCAACCCTATTGCTACACCTTTTGCTCTTTTAACCAGTGAGTCTGCATAATACCATGTTGGATGGTATCTAGATTTTAACTTAACATTTGATTCTATCTCAAAAGGTGTCTCCTGTAAGAATATCACTGAGGCTGCCCTATGATGTAGTTCTTTAAATAATCTAAATCTTTTCCCAGGGCAGTTCAACCCGTTTACATTATATGTTATAAACTGTATCTCTTCCATCTTTCTTGGGTCTCCCTTTTTCTCCTCCATCTATATTTTTTCTTTTTTCTTGCTTTTATATCTTCTTTTATCCTGCAGGGAGTTATCCTCCCATCCCCCTCCCCCCTCCCTCCCATTCTTCCGTCCCTCCCCCCCCCTCTTTTTAGGCCTACAGTTTGCCTACCAATCATTTGTGGAAATAAAATCCACTTTTGATTTAATCCTTAGGGCTAAAACTCTGACCATGGACGACTTTCCCCTTCTCCAGCTTCCCCACTGACCCCCCAAGTCCTGCAAAAATATCTTTAAAAAAAAATGAGGTGAGGTCGGTAGGGAGAAGGAAGAGAGAGAAAGAAAGAGAAAAAAAAAAAAGGGAAAAACTTATTTCTCTCCTTCCTCCCCTCCCCCCTCCTCCCCCCTATGAGTTGCCAGTTGTCAGGAATGGACTTGCCAATAGTGGTGGGACTCACCTGCCTTGTGGGCTGCAGTACCAGGGCTGGCCAGCGGGTGCACTCAACAACCAGAGGTTCACTTCGGCAATTAGCCATCACCTGGGGCTGATTGCAGGTGTATTTAAGGGATGGCCAGACCTGCAGTCTGGGCCTTGGTGTGTGTTTTTTCCATGGGCCCCTGTATCTTGTAACCTGCGTTCCTGTTCCTGTTTCTGCCTTTGCCTGACTTGTTGCCGACCCTGCCTGATCCTGACCTCTGCTGACTTCTCCTGTTTTGATCCCTGGCTTGTGACCCTGACCATTCTCTCCACCTGCTCCTCCTGTACCTACCTGCCCGATAGTTATCGACCCGGCTTGCCTGACTATGTTGTGCTCTATATGTGTATGTACCTGTGTATCTGTATCAGTTTAGGTTTGGGTTTGTTTCACCTTGTTGTATGTATTTGTGTTAGCTTGGGGCTTGGTGCACTGTGTTTATGTTTGTATTGTTAGTCTTTAATAAATTGTCTTATTTATACCATATCTGAAGCTTGCGTTTCCCTGTGTCAGTCCACACACTTCTGGTCACACCCGCATCCCTGACACCAGTCCTCTATTCTTTTCGTTCTAATTTCCCAGTGTTCTTCTTCCCAACCAGGAATTTCCATTCTTTGTAGTTTGAGTCTATCACAAAAGTTTTTCAAATCTTCTTGGAACCTGAGATATGCTGTACCTCCATTTTTCCATCCTATTAGGCACTCAGGAATCCCCCATCTATATTGCACATTCTGTTCTTTCAACCTTTCCAACAGGGGTCTCAGGGTTCTCCTTCTCCACAGAGTCTCTGGTGACAAGTCCGCATATATCTGTATATCCTTTCCTTCATATTTAATTACTGATTTTCCCTTAATCTTCCTCCAGATTTTTTCTTTATCTTGAAGCTCATAAAAGTTAACAAGTATATCTCTCGGCCTTTCCTTCCCCAGATTTCCTTGGAGTTTTCCTTTTCTAAAAATTCCTTCTATTTTAGTCCTTTCCATATCAGTACCGTCCATTATAGAGTTTAATATTTTACAAACCACCTCTTGCAGAATTTCTCCTTTTGGGTTCTCTGGGACCCCTCGTATCCTAATATTTCTCCTCCTGTCCCTATTTTCTTGTATCTCAGCCTTATAAAGCAATTTTTCTTGAACTTTACCTATATTGATTATCTCTTTTTCTAATTCGGAAATAGCTTGGGTCTGGTTTTTAACTTTCTCCTCCGTTTCTTCCACTCTCACCAAAAGGTGCCCCAGGTCATTTCGAATATTTACCATTTCTTGTTTTATTGTTTTCTCCAATTCTTTGAACATTTCTGCCATCTCTTTTTTATTTGGTATTTGTAGGTCTTTTTCCATCTCTATATTGCCTGATATTTGTTGGCTACTAGTGTCAAGGCCTAGTGATAGTCTAGGGCTACTTTCCAGCCTGAGGTCTACTTTTCCTTTTTCAATCATACCCTGGGGCCTTTCTTGGGTTACGTTTCCCTGGGAGGTATATTTTTTGATTGTACCAGTTTGGGACCCTTTAAGGCCGCTTCCTTTTACGTTTTTATTTTTCATTTCTTCTGTAGCTCTTATCCTCCTTTATAGGCTCGGGGGTAGGAAAAAAACAGCTATTAATATACAAGTCCCAGCCCTGTCCACTTGCTTGTCTTTTTAGACTCTTCTTTCAGCAGTCTTCTTCTCCTTTCCACATTTTTACATTCCCCGGGGGTCCCCCCTTTCTCTCACACCCTGCTTCTCTCTAAGGATCAGTACAATACAGCATATAATATAGATCGGGCCTCAACCAGAGTCACTCACCCTCCTCGCACATCCTTTCTTGTGACACGGCTAGAGGCTCCCTCCATCAGTCCTTCTAGTTGGGGTTTGTTCATCAGGGGGACTCCCCAGGGTATCCTCTGCTCTCCTCTCTCCGGGTCACGGCGTTTCCCCTCCTCTGCTGTAATCAAGCAGGGCTTCGGGGAGTAGGCCGGCAAGCAGGTCAGCGCTGCTCTCTCACCACAGAATGCCGACCGGCTTCCTGGTTTCCCAGCGGCCGATGATGTGGTCACGCCACCCCTGTTCGTCTCCCGGCAACCAGGCACGCGGTCACCGCCGGTCTCCACACAGCCGCTATCTGTCTCCTGGGTCACTCCTCCTACGGGCCACTGCCGCCCATCCAAGGGGAGACGTCAGCCTGAGGTAAGTCTTGCTCTGCAGGACTTCTGCATACCAAGGGAAAAGAACTTGGGGGCTTGGGGAGGTCGAATAGCGGAGCTTCGTCCGAGAGCTCCTACATCGAGCTCTCCTCAGCCGCCATGATCAGGCTCCGCCCCCCCGGACATTGTCACTGTTAAATCACACTGCTGTAAAGAGTGTATATTCCAAATTTCACAGCTGAGGAACAGCATGAGGAAACATAGTGTGTTGTCCATTTTTAATGATGATGATGATAATGCACTGCAATTCAAAAAAATAAGGAATGGCCAACACAGTATTTACACCAATAATGGAACAATTTATATGTCTATAAAAAAGCTTTTATAAAAAATAAGTTTTGGTTAGTAATAGAGAAAAAGTATGGTAACCTAACTTGAATAGTCTTGCAGTATAGAGGATCAACCTGGCTGAAAAGTGTGTAGAGCCCTCCTAGTTAGATAGGGGGAGCTCTAATTCAATTGTTAGTTAGGAAAGCTGAGTAGCAGCCTGGGTGTGATAGCTAGCAGGGTCAAATTTGAGTCAGAGGTGAGAGGCTCTGCAGACCAGCCCTCTGGGATTTCCCCCTGTTCTAGAACTTTGGAGAAAGATCTAGAAGCAGTGGGTGGATTTGATGAGTTGCACATCTGTACTCTTAGAGGATTCTGGCCAATCCCCAAAAGGAGGCTTGGCAAGGGGCCAGAACAGCCTTTAAGAGTAACTGAGCCTGCTCAGCTAGGGGAAGAGAGAGTATGGGTGGAAGTTAGAGAGGATGTGAGGCTGGAGGCAGGAGCCTGCGAGGGGGCCCAGATGGAGAGGGACTCACCTACAGGTCGAGGACCTTGGAAGGATGAAAGCTCAAGACTTCACCGGCCCCCTGAGACAGGACCACCTGTGTAGCAGGGAAGGAGATAAAAGGCCTGGTAGCAGCCACCAACCTATCAGCAACACAGGAGTGGGACTGAGTGAGTAGACCTGGACCAGATAGGGGAAGGAGCACTCTGGTGGGAAACCAGATTAGCCACCACCTGGGACGGTCATATTTCTTAAAGTGTCAGGCACTAGACTCCTGCTCAGGCATTCTTCCAGGTAGCCAGACAGTGGAACATCTGGGGTCTGGGGTGATACTACAGGATATGCTGGCTAGCTCTCCGTGAAGAGGATTTTTGTATAAAGACTTGCACATAGTTCAGTAAGTTTTTCTTGGCTTCTATGTTCTTTTGGGCATCCCGTACACCCCTTACCCCATCCAAGTTCTAAATACTCTAATAAATCATGAAAACAAGTTCAAGGACTGGTCACTGATTCCTAAATGCAAGTGGATATGCAAATTTGTGTTCCCTGGCTGTGCAGGACTATAGGGGGACCCAAAAGTTCAGCAACTCCTAAAGGGGTAGTGCTATAAGTATATATTTTGTGTTACCTTGCAAAGTCATGAAAATAGTTTTTTTAGTGCTGCAGCGTGCAGGAAGGACTGTGCTTTAACAAACATTGTGCTTTAACAGATATGGTACAGACCTTATCTGCAACTGTCTCATAGCTACAAAAAAAAAATGGGTTTTGGCTCTTTGTGATTCTCAAAAACTGTAACTCCACAGATAAAACCCTGCAGAGCACAAGTTGGAACCTTATTTAACAATGATTCATTATATCTGCAATTGTCATTCAGTTGTGAAAAAATTGGGTTTTGAGTGTTGGTGGTGTCCAAACACAGTGATCCCACAGATAAAATCCTTCAGAGCACAGGATGGACCTTTTTAAAATCAAAGAATTTACAACTGTAAAACAGCTGCAAAAAATGTGAGCTGCCAAATTAAAGTTCCTGTTGCAAAGAACAGCAGCTTTGGCCCCTGGTGCACTCTGTGATCACTGTGTCCTTTGGACACAGCTGATCACAGGATGCGGTAAAGGGCCAATCAAAGTGGCCCTTTACCATTTGATCAGCTGTGTCCAGTGACAGCTGATCACATTGTAATCAGACTTGCCGGTTATCGGCAGTCTTTTGGTCTCGCACTATCCTAATCTGGAAAGAGGAGAGGAGATCTGGTAACTGAAAATTTACAATGGGAACATTTACACTGATAATTAGGGCACTGATCATGAGTGCCTTGATGATCAGTGCAGTCCCATCAATGCTGCCTACTGTGCCCATCAGAGCTGCCTATCAGTGGTGCCTCATCAGTGCCTCCTCATCAGTGCCCATCAGTGGTGCCTCATCAATGCCCATCAGTGGTACCTCATCCGTGGACATCAGTGAAGGAGAAAATGTAATTATTTGCAAAAACGTATAACAGAAACTAAGGCAAAAACTTTTCAAAATTTTTGGTCTTTTTTCTTTTGTTAGATACGACCAAGAGGAAGTTCTATCAGTCTAAAAAAACATGATACAAATTTAATTTGGGTACAGTGTTGCATGGCCACACAATTGTCATTCAAAGTGCGACAGCTCTGAAAGCTAAAAATTGGCCTGGGCTAAAAGTGGGTGAAAGTGCCCAGTATTGAAATTGTTAAATCCATCACTGAGGCAATCCCCTGCATTGCCACTCCTCCTTTCAGCAATAGGAGGCTCAGAGACACCTTGTCCTCAAGATGTTGTCCTTCCAGACTCTGGAAATGAGTGACAGAGATTTCTCAATAGTGCATCCTCTGAGATTTTTCATCCTCTGTGAGAGCCCTGTGACCAGGGCATCTGTTAGAAATCATGGGGCCCCGTATAGCCTAACTGACGGGGCCCCCTTCAACCCTGCCCTTGACCCCCACCCCTGGCCCCCCTCCTGAGTCTCCCTCAAAACAAAATGCAGGCCACCAGTGACCTGTAATTATAGAGAACAAGGCCTGAAACCACACCTACCTGCTGAGAGCCACAGGAGGAACTGCCACTACAATTTTCACTGGCCCTAAACGCTGGTGTGAATGTAACCATGTAGGATGCATTTCACTGTCCTTTTATTATCATTATGAGAATTACACAATACAGGTGCTGTGGCTCTAAAGCATCTGTACTGTGTGATGATGATGATAACATTTGGCTGCTGACTGTACAATTCATCATGGGCAACAGCAGGGCGTGGCATGGGGGAAAGGTGTGTGCACACTTTGATCTCACAATATCTTTTGTGAGAATTTTCTGCAGATGATCCCTCTGTGTGCTGACTCCTGCAGATTGACTGCTGCCTCTGCTCTGCCACTGCCTGCTGCACTGATAATAAAGATGATAGCTGCCAGCCTGAGCCTGCCACTGTTTTGCTGCTATTTCCCTAAGACTGAGCTGTCCTCTCCTCAGCACATTCTTACTGAAGGAGGAAGGCCTTTAATTTTACCATTGACAAATGCGGCTGCAGCATGTGGTGCAAATCAACCATTGCGCCAGATAAGAAAAAAAGTCCCTCTATTCTACACCTAACAGGCACTTACAACAGGAGATGGTCAGAGACTGCAGACATAGTACAGGAGACAGTCAGAGACTGCAGACACACTACAGGAGATGGTCAGAGACTGCAGACAAACTACGGGAGATGGACAGAGACTGCAGACATAGTACAGAAGATGTTCAGAGACTGCAGACATACTACAGGTTACGGTCAGAGACTGCAGAAATAGTACAAGAGATGGTCAGAGACTGCAGATATACTACAGGAGACACTCAGAGACTGCAGACATAGTACAAGAGATGGTCAGGGACTGCAGACACACTACAGGAGATGGACAGAGACTGCAGACATAGTACAGAAGATGTTCAGAGACTGCAGACATACTACAGGAGACAGTCAGAGACTGCAGCCATAGTACAAGAGATGGTCAGGGACTGCATACATACTACAGGGGATGGTTAGAGACTGCAGACACACTACGGGAGATGGACAGAGACTGCAGACATAGTACAGGAGATGTTCAGAGACTGCAGACATAGTACAGGAGATGTTCAGAGACTGCAGACATAGTACAGGAGACAGTCAGAGACTGCAGACATATAACAGGAGACAGTCAGAGACTGCAGACACACTACAGGAGACAGACAGAGACTGCAGACATACTACAGGAGATAATCAGAAACTGCAGATATTATTATTATACAGGATTTATATAGCACCAACAGTTTTCTCAGCGCTTTACATTATAAAGGGGGACAATACAGATCAATACAAGAGGGTTAGGAGGGCCCTGCTCCTTGGCGCCCACAATCCAAGAGTACAGGAGACTGTCAGAGACTGCAGATATAGTACAGGAAACTGTCAGAGACTGCATTTGTGCAATGACAATGCCCGAACCCATTGTAAAATGTATAATATTGCAGGGCTGCTCCACTCTACTTAAACCAGCTCTGCAAGATCAAGTCAGAAATCATCATTACAAAGTACAACATGTGACAGAAGGCAGCAGCACTTCCAATCTTCCAGTCTTATAAAACAGACAACTGGTCAAGAGCAGTGGAGGACAGTTAATGAATCTGTGAAGCTGCCAGCCCTAACCGGCAGTAAATCCTCCAAAGCCAACATCAAACAATGTGTCCAATGATGTGTCACTTGTAATGTTGATCTTATCAGTGTGTTTAGGTGCAGGTTAGATTAGGCAGCTATAAAAAAGAGTAAGGAGTGAGATAAGACAGAGGGGAGGGTTGTATGTATCCTGTGTAAGCTGCATGCTGCCTGAACACATGGATAAGATTAAGAAGGCCGGCATCACAAGTTACCAGTGACTGCAGTTGTTTCTGATCATACCTTCTTCTTGTAGCTCCTGGGTTTCAGGTTTGTGTCTCCCTCCCCCGCCACCCCCTTTCAGCCCTGCTCCAGCCACCAGCATCTTCCATATACAGTCAAATATGGCGGGCTGCAGAAGGTAGGAGGGGGCATTACAGTGCTTGCTGATTGGCTAAGAATGGGTATGAAGAGGAGCAACTGTCGCTCCAGCCAGTGCAGTGTATTCATCTTGTCCCTCCCCCAAACTTAGATAAACAGCGCTATTGGCTGCTATACTAAGCATGCAGAAACCTGAATCTGTCTGCTTGCCGAACCCCTCTGTCAAAGTGACAGGGCCCCCTACAGGAGGCCCGAAGGTACCCCCTTGTCAGCGGCCCTGCCTGTGACCCCCGTAATCAAGAAGGGTTGCCAATCAGTAATAGTCCCTCCACTTGATGACACTTATCTTATGGCTCTTTTGCAGGCTCTAGAGCAGTGGTCTCCAAACTACAGCCCGGGGGCCGGATGCGGCCCTTTTCTTGCCCATAAGGCCCTTGGGGCACTTTTTCTCCCACTGATACAAGACACTATTTCTCTCACTGACACCAACAAGGGGGCATAATTCCTGCTACTGACATCAACAACAGGCAATATTCCTCCCATTGACACCTACAATGGGGCACTATTCCTCCCATTTACACCAACAATGGGGCACTATTCCTCCCATTTACACCAACAATGGGGCACTATTCCTCTCACTGAAACAAACCATGAGACACTATTCCTCCCACTGACACTAACAACGGGGCACCATACTTCCCTCTGACACCAACAATAGGGCACTATTTCTCCAACTTACACCAAGAATAGGGCACTGTTCATCCCGCTAATGCCAAAGATGCATTATTTACTCCCAATGACGTAGGACAATTTCCCAATGGCCACAGTTCAGCCCCCCTAAAATCTAAAAGCCAGTAAACTGGCCCTTTGTTTAGAAAGTTTGGAGACCCCTGCTCCAGAGCATGAAGGAGTCAATGTGGTGCATATTACTGAAGGTGGAAGAACCTAGTCATCACAGTCTCCGAGGATGACATTGTCCTAAGTTACCTTCCCCCAGCTACATACTACTTCTGGGGAATTTATGTTACAGTTAAAACAAATTTCTCTTTGTTTTATACATTATAAAACACATGCCATATCTTAAAAACAACAGAAAATGGCTAAAAATGTACACAGATACTACATAGCAATAACTATAGTTGCACCAGTCCACCAACAGCACTTTGTTGGTAATCTGGTCATTTTAAAAACAATCGGTTGTGATGCTGAAAAGCCCTCCCTGCTGCCTTCCACATGCAATAAGCTTGATCCAAAAAAAACCCAAAACAAACAAACACACAAAAAAAAACATAGTGAGTTGGTCTTGTGAGCTTGAATATATAATGATGAATGAAGCTGAGAAAGGGGCTATTACACTGCACAGGATTAGTACATACATTACTACTATCTTCCTGTTGAATCTGCTCGTTGTCCTCTATAAATACAGTGCTTTACACAGAATTCAGAGTAAGACAAATTGAATGAAGTCTGTGATTTCAGCTCAGCTGCAGGGTGCTGGAATGCATTATTTGCTCAATTTAACATGTTGCCTGTAAAGCTAGAATTTACCAGCCAGCATGTTGAGGACAGAGAATATGTAGTTACATCTCGTTTTAGATAGAATGTACATCACAGAAACATTGAGTGCAAAGATAACACATTTCAAACCATTAATAAGGGTTTTTAATAATTGATTATTACAAAATAAGTAGGTTTGAATCATGTTTGCTTGGCAATCTTTGACATTTGGATTAGATAAGTGTGTGCTAATTGTACTCAGAAAAATGTAGTCTATCTTTCAAACTTGCCAAGTCTCTGTTTTGGTCGTTGAGGGCGAGCAGTTTCATTTATCTTGCCAGTTTTCATCCAGAGTTTGCCAGTGATTTATTAGTAAATCACACTACTTTACTGTACTACTAATAAAATGAATTGTTGTTACTGGTAGGCAAAAATGACTGTCATGTAGACTTCTCAAGTAATATTAAAACATAGAACAATCAGATTAATATTCTGTAGTAATTTGTTAAAAATATGTTTTTTATGTTTTACAAGTTTATTTTTGTGAACCTGTTTCTGAACAAATACAATGCTTTGTATTTTATATTCACCCTGTGGGCTGGCACAGCATAAAATGTTTTTCAATCGCCAGCATTAAAATGAAGATAGAAAAATATATATTACTTCCCTACTGTATTTGTTAAGCAAGAATATGATATTCTGTGTACCATTATTTTGCAAGAGTCTTTCACCTTAAAAAATAAACCTTTACCTAATTTTAACCATGCAGAATAAATATTTTTTGGACAGAAATGCAAATACAAAATGCAATTCTAAACAACAGAAATCTAGAATGATTATGCAACCCTGTCGTTGCTGGTCTCGTCAAGCATTAAAATGTGTTTTTGTGCATTTGTATATTTTGGCAAAGGTATTATCTACACTAATTAAAGCTTTGTATTTAATAACTGGTATTTAGACCACAGATTAAAAAAAATAACATAAAAAATGATGTTTGTATTTTAGTGATTCTGAAACATTTATGTCAGATTTCTCCACCAGTAGATAAAGAAGGTAATATATTTTATTCCGGGCACTTATCCAAGCTTTCTATTATACAAATATATATATCACTTCACACTGAAAATTCAAACGTATCCAAATTGAAAACAATTACATAAGAATGTTAATAGTCTGAAAACTGAATTTTGCAAGCAATATTTAGAAAAGTTTGCTGCACTAATTTATTGCATTGTATGTATATAAACGTGCTGTAATGTCTCAATCAGATATGCAGTTTCCCATGTAAATTAATCCTTTTGAAAAGCAATCAATGGTCACAAAAAAAGATATGGCGGTGCTGAGAAACAGCATGCTAGAGTCACCTTATTGCACAAAAGAAATGTTAGGGATAGTAGAAAACATTGCTCCAGCAGTAGCAAGCATATATTTATATATGATGATAGCAGCAAGAGCCATTGGCTCCTGCAGCTGTCAAACAAATCCTGTGAGGAGGGAGCGGTGGGATAGGTGCAGAGCCACGCTGTGTGTGTCTATAGATGCACAGAGCCTGGCTCAGGATCAAGCCTGCATGAGTGCTCTCATAGCAAGAGGCTTCCTATACGGGCATTTGGAGAAGTGAAGTGGACATCACCAGTGGGAGAGAAAGTTCGGGGGCTGCTTTGTGCAAAAGTATTGCACAGAGCAGGTACACATAACATACTTTTTTTTTTAGGAAAAAAATGTAGGTTAAGAAATGCTTTAAAAAAGTCACAGCTGCTGAACTTGGTACAAAATGTAGGCTGATTCACAGCAGTCAAGTGGCTAACATTGGACCTGGATGATTTGTTCATCTTCTTTACAGTAGGGATGAATCTGAAACTGTGACTTTCAGCCATAGTATCAGTTCCCTGTCTCCATCTATTACAAGCTGTTTTTCTATGAGCAAACTGATCTTCATCTTGGATTTTACTGGCACCAAGTCATGTTACTTCTAACGTGTTCAAAGCAGAACTGGTGGTTATGGCATGACAGATTCTCACAAAACTAAGGAAATTATATTTGTGGAGGGTAAAAAGATGTATATAGACGCCACATGTTTGTGGTGTAATGATAGACTTAAAAGAGTAATGTAATAATGAGAGATTTGAATTTCAGACAGTGGTGAAGTTGACAGAAGCAGACCTGGAAGAATCCATAGAGGCTCAATGAGTAGTAGAAAAGTGGGAATATGCATAGAGTCTTTAGTCTTTACTAAGACTTCTTGTAGCACTGCAAGAGCTGGTACTAATTATTGTGATTCATCTGACTGTAAAATTGCATGATTATTTAGTAGTGGATAAGATGTGATAACCAATTCAAAGTGAAAAGGAAGTGGCTTTAGTAGAGGAGGATGAGATGGTATTTGAAAGAAAAAGTGGTGGCAATGTGCATACACATCTAGTTTCTGTAGTACATTATATGTACACTGCTGATGAAGCTCTTTGTTAGTTGTGAAACATGTTGAGTAAGTTTGTTTGGCACATTTTTATTCTTTTTTTTTGGGGGTACTCATGTTTTTTTTTGTAGGATGATAATTTGTTACTCCAATTTTTTCTTTGTTAATGGTGGGATCATTTTGAGAGGCTTCAGTTAATTACACATTTTGACTATATATTTTTGTGGGGTGATTTCTGAAGGTGAGAAATCTGATATATGGTATATTGATGACCCACAGCCTGCTTGTTTGTACCTCCCCTGCAGTATTAGAATATATTAATGTGGCTAGCCAAATAGTAGTGTAGATTAGTTATTTGTCACCACAGCGACTAATGTGCCGCAGTGAGGTATTTTCAAGTGTTACCCTATCTTTATTTTGTGGGGGAAGTTTTTGTCCACTCAAGTACATGGTTAACACTTTTTTTTGGATTGTGATGTTGCTTTCTAATACACATGCTGAACCTTTCTTTTGCTAATACCAGTTTTTTGGATGGGAGAGATTGAGACTTATACTTTTGAAATTCCCCCTCTCATTTTGGAAGTGTATGGAAAACGTATGGTCTACATCATAATGGTATCAAACACAACAAGCAATATTCCAATCATCTATCAAAATCCTAATAAACGTTAGGTTAGTTGGCTTCTCATGGCTTTGGTGCGTAGGTATGTGCACCCCCGTTCTACAGTAGTTTAAGTATATGTACATGCCATAAAAGTTAGTTTGGATATTTGTAGAATATAGTAGGCATCAATATTGGTACACTTCCAGTTTGATAATTTTATTCCAAATTGAAGGGGAAACATATATGTGTCACCATGTGCCACAGCACACAGTCCAAGCACAAATGTGAGAAATAGCATATGAGGTGCCATCACCATCCTGTGAGAAAGGCACAATGGCCAACAACACTCATACCTCCCTAATCTTCCTTCTCCTTGTTATCAACACTGTTTGTAATCTAAGTCTTAGAAGATATTATCATCCCCACCTGCAACTGATGCTGCTACAAAAGTTCATTAAGGCCAGTCCTCATCTAGCCAAGAGTCCATTTCTTGGCTGAATCCCCCCTCCCCCACCGTTTGCCAACTAAATATTCATCTGGCCACTTTGCTCTGAAGAAGTAGGCATGTCACTTGAAAAGTGTCAGCATGTGCGTCTGAGTGATGCCTAGGTCTCTGTGCAACTTTTCCACATCTCAACTTGACTGTCATTTGGGTTTTTGTTTTATTCATTGTCTTTAACCATTTGGCTATTTGTGAGTAAGTTTTTGGCATTTGGTTTTCACTGGGCAATGCACTAGGCCTTTGTGCCCTTGTTGTTACTTTGGTACTCATCTGGCCAAGTTAGATATGGTGAAGTCACTGCCTTTCTAGTTAGTCAGTTGAAGGGCTTTGGAAAACTTATGGAATGTTCTCAGTCTCAATAAAGTTGCTTTATTAACCACCTACCCCCCTGAGGATTCACCTCCCCCCCCCCCTCTTCCTGACCAGGCCATTTTTTGCATTATGACGCTACGTTACTTTAACTGACAATTGCGTGGTCATGCAACGCTGCACCCAAATGAAATTTACATCCTTTTTTTCCCACGAATAGAGCTTTCTTTCGGTGGCATTTGATTGCCTGTGCTTTTTTATTTTTTGTGCTATAAAAAAAAAAAAAGACTGACAATTTTGAGAAAAAAACAATGTTTTTTACTTTTTGTATTAAACGTGCAGTAAAAAAATAAAAAAAACCCAAACTTATAAATTTAGGCCAAAATGCATTCTGCTACATGTCTTTGCTAAAAAAAAATCCCAATACGTGTAATTTAATTGGTTATAGATACTGGAATTTTAGTAATGGCGGCGATCAGTGACTTATAGCAAGACTGCGGCGGGCATTCTGACACTGAGGGGAACTGACTTGGTGTCACTGACATCCCCACTGACACCAATGCAGTGATCAGTGCTAAAAAAAGCACTGACACTGTACTAATGACACTGGGCAGGAAGGGGTTAACATGAGGGGGCGATCAAATAGTTAACTGTGTGCTGTTTTACATTGGGCTGTGTCTGAGTGCTTCACTGTAAGCACACTGCTTTGCATGGCTGTGCTGTGTACAGCCATCCAAAGCAGTCGGCATGATCTGACAGGGAGGAGAACTGTTTTGTTCACAAAAAGTTCCCCTCCCTGTTGGAGATCCTTGGCAATCACTGGGCGCCGGCGAGTTATCACCGTCCGGGACCCACTGGTAGATCGTGCACGCGGCATGAATGGAGGCAAATGGAGACATGTGCGTGCCCCCTACCCGGAAATGCAAAATCACATATATATATATTCGTGATTTTGTGTACCCGTGCCACCCTGTAGCAGTATATCTGCTATAAGACGGTCAGGAAGTGGTTAATAAAACTAACACTGTAAGAGCATGTCTCATTTGCTGGAGTTATAAACTTCCAAATTGTCGGAAGCAGCTGCAGCCAGGGATAATACTTGTCTTTCATTGCCCATATTCATGGACATTTATTACACCTATGTACTATAATAAGTTAGACACAGAGCCAGTGGACACCTAAGCCTGTGACCACATTTTATTATGTGGTTTATGGAGGACATTTTTCTGGTGTGAAAAAGAAACAGCAATAAAATATAACAGGAAGTAACTATAATATTGAAATGGATACCTGAAAACAATGGTTGAAGCACTCTCACAGCTAAAATTGAAGTTTTGGAGAGAAAGGGAATAGAAGGAAGAAACAAAAGTTTAAAAGGGGATAAGAGTAAGGATTTTTCCTCATAGATATACGGAGAATGATCAGTTTGGATGCAAACAGTGATTGACATGCAATATTAACAATGTCTGCTTTATTTTACACATAAAAAGCAAATGAGACCAAAAAAAAGGCATAATAACAGCTTTTCTACCCATGTCACAAGCCACCCTCTATATCAGGGGTATTGAATTAAAATTCAAGGAGGTCCGGTCACTAACATTTTCTTCTGGCCAAGGTCCGAATAGGGTGTGCCTATTAGTGTGCCCCCCCTTATTAGGTGTCACCTAAGAGAGCAACTTTACATCATGTATTCCCATCACATCAGGTGTGTCCATCAGAGTGCTCCTTTACATCTGGTATCCCCATCGCATTGCCACCTTATATCAGGTATTACTGTCAGAGTGCCCCCTTACACTCAAAGTACCCCTTTCTATCATATTTCCCCATCAGAGTGCCCCTTTACATCACATGTGCCCATCAGAGTGCCCCTTTCTCCACAGTATGTGCTAATTTGTGCCCCCTTAACATAAAATGGCCCTTCAGAGTGCCCCTTAAGATAAAATGTGCCTATCAGAGTGCCCTTAACATAAAATGTACCCATTAGAGTGCCCCTTAACATAAAATTTGCTCATCAGAGTGCTCCTTAACATAAAATGTGCCAGTTGAAAGTAGGTAGGTGGTCTTTTTCCTGTTCCTTGGGGGCCCCCTCAAGATACCAATGGTCACACCTGGACACAGCTACGAGATCTCGGAAAGTGATTGCACACTCAAGTCACCTCAGTTTCGATTGCAAAACACATTAGTTTTATTGGCATAACATCAGGGTCTTTATATTGTAGTCTTTGGGCAAACACCCCTCAGACCATCCAATCAAATACATTATTTTTACCTTAACTCAACAATTATTTGTATGAGGTTTGCATTTTCACTTTTCTGCATTATCTGTCACACCATATATGACCCACCCAGACCATGGCTATAATCTGACCCAACGCCCAAACTGTGGTTACAACTTTTCAGAAATGAGAGTAAACCTTATCTGCTTTTTTGTAAAGTTTGCAAAAACACTCATTTCTACATTAAGCTGGCATAAACAGTTTTGTTTAGTGTGTACAAATCTCATATATGTATGTTAAACTAGCATCTTGTATTAGTGTATACAAAATGGTTTCAGTTATATTCCATTTAATCCTTTCACCAGTCAGAGTTCCCCTTAACATAAAATAAGGGGCATGCTGATGGACACATTTATATTAAGGGGCACTCTGATGGGCATATGTTATGTTAAGGGACATGCTGATGGGCACATTCTGTGTTGTGTGCATCAGAGTGCCCCTAAACATTCAATGTGCCCATCAGAGTGCCCCTGTAAGACTACACCCTACCTTGAGGGCAGACAGGAGCTGTGCCGCGATCCTTACTGAACGCTTGTGTACAGGCAGGGAGCGGGAGCCGGAGAGACAGTGAGCTGAAAGGGGTGGGGCACACACGTGATGTCATGTTGCCATGATGACCGCCCTGCTCAGTGACGGATCTGTCATTGTGGGCTGGTGGTCTGGGCGGCAGCACTGCTGAGGCCGTTCACGGACCACGGTCTGCCATTTAGTGACCGCTGCTCTATATACATACTTTGTTTACATATATCAGTAAGATGGAGTATAATACCATTACACAACCATATATTTTCTGAAAGGAGAAGCCCTATATTATTACAAGATGGTATTTACAATTTGTATGCTGTGCAATATTTGTGCTACTGTTTATGAAACTTGTATTCTCAGTAAAATAATATATTGTATGACAAAATATATTATCTAAATTCACCAATAAAGAGGAACCGAACCCTGGAAGCTGTACTTAAAAACAGACAAGCAGAGGGGAAAAAAAAAACAAAATCACCAGTATTTCCGGTAATCTCCCTGCCGTTGACCTTTCCCCTTTACAAACCTACCATACCTTGCTCTGCACTGTGTGGAGGTGGCCAGCTTGGCATGGTTTTGTTTGCTCATGTCAGAGCACTCAACATCAACAGTGAGTGACACAGTAGTGACATCATAAATTCCAAATCTCTTAAGACTGGCAGCCAGTAGAGACTGTAGGAGTGCATTGGTACTCTCACATAAAAGGAATTTCTAGGGGCAATTCAAGATAAAAAGGTACATTTTCCAAGTACTGCTTTTTCAGGGCACAATTTACATTTTTTAGATGTTTCCTATAAGATAACACATTTTTACTTTTGAAAGGAGGTTCACTTTACATCTATGAGCTACCCGAAAGCTCAGATCATTCTACACCAGAGTTATAACCCCAGTGAGTGTTACTGCTCTGTTAGAGAGTTTTCCCCTCACTTACTGTAATGGTAATGATAGTTATACCAAATAGAATCAAGGGAGATTTCCAACAGGACACAAACAACAATAAAATGTTGACTGGGGTTCTAGCCTCCCCCTATAATGCTAAAAAAAGAACATTTTATTCTTGTCTGCATTGTTGTTGCAGATTTCTCTTACTTTCTGTCGTTTTTTTACTACTATCTGGGGCTCTATTAGAGAGATGATTTCATCTTATTTTCATAGTGGCAACCATTAAACCAAACAGGCTTAATTATTCCCATTTAATCATTCCCATTCTATCTAAAAATGTTTTTTTTAGACAGTCTAGGTTATGCAATACATATTTTGAATTCCTATACTCAGTGACATCACCAAAGCAGTTCTTAATGTGGGAAAATAGTAAACTATTGAGATTGTTTCCTGGCACAGCACCATGCATTATCTGGGTTCTAAAATGCAGTAAAATGGCTTGGATGGGCCATTCAGGTGCTCAATGTTCTATACACCTCTCTTTAAAAGTCAAGGGAGTTAGGGAGTTAAGTTAGGGAAAGCTCACAGAAGACAGGGAAAGTTAGGTGTTCATGCTTGTGCTAAATGATGACAACATTTCTTTACTTTCACACAATCCTTAGATCATACATTCCCGACTTCCTATAAAGGATATCGATTACAAAAAAGCCTAAAACAAGGAACAGGGGAATAAGAACTTTGACTCGAAAGTAAGGATGCAAGACCTTCAGCCAGGAGATCATATACTGTTGAGGAACTTAGGGGTACCTGGGATGCACAAATTGGTAGACTGCTGGTCATCTCAGCCCTACATAATCTGCAGGCAACTCCTTGGGCTGCCAGTATACCAAATCTGTTCTGAGGGGAAGACTGGCCCTTTGAAAATATGGCATCAAAATCATTTGCTTCCTCTTTTAAGAGCCACCTGGGTGCCTCAGCCCATGGCTCCTCAGAAGGATGAACCACTGTCCCTCAGAACGTGGCTACAACAACGAGGCCAAAGACACTGACCAACAGAGATGAAAGATGACAGCGACAAAGATGAGGTGGTGCCCTACTAGCTATGGTCAGATACCCAAAACATTGTAAATGGTACCCAGTTGGCTTGAGAAGAGAGAGAAGGGTGTTATAGTTCAGAGGTATAAATCCTACCCACACCTGAAGGGGACAGACACGTGGCTTCAGCAAAATCCTGAAGTATGCCAATTGTTGTTGAATTTCAGTTATGGTTGAGTTTATCATACTCTATGAGTAGTGCCTTATTATTTAACATTTAAAATAACATTTGGTAATAGTTCTGTCTCTTTGGGGATCAAAGTTTTCAAGCTGGGGAAGGATGTAACCAAGTGCTGGTCAACTTATCTGTATCACCACCAGACATCCATAATAACTACTGTGTTGAATTAATGTCCCCCCTCTAGTGTCCAGTTGTAATAGTAACATTGTGTTCAATGACACTAGGAGAGAGGAAGATCTCATGGAGATCTGTGGGACATGTAGTCTGGATAGAAGGGACTTGTCAAGAACCGAGGCTTCTGGGAACTACAAGATCCAGCTGGCTGGAGGAGGAGAGGTGTATGTTGGGGGAGGATATATAAGTCGGACTTGGGAGAATGCTTTTCCTCTTGGGACTATGGGCTGAAGCTGTAAACAGGGATCTGGCTGCTGTGGAGAGCTGAGCAGGCCAAACGGAGTTGAAATCTTTGGGTGTGTGAGCTATAGGCTATCCACCAGAACATCAGTCTGCAGTTTCCTGTAGCAGACATGACTGAGCCAAGACATGAGCAGAATCCCAGTGTCACAAGGCACTAGGCCTAGCGTCCCTGTCAAGGAATACGCATATCTATGCGCAGGCTCAGAACCCCAGTTAGCCCTGCTCATGGCCAATTAGCGAATGTGTGTGCGCGATCATGCACACAGGTGCATGCAAGTGCTCATGCACGACAGCGCATTGGCGCCAGGTGGGCTATTTAAACTGGGCTAGTGCCTTGCATTAGTGTCATGGTCTGGGTCAGGTTCAGAGACCAGTTGCTACAGCAGTGTAAGCCTTACCTGAAACCAGCAGGGTCGGTACACCAGCGGATCACCCTGGGAATGATGCAGGCTCACCTGAGGTGTGGGGTCTAAGTATTTTCCCCAGAGCTCCTAATGGTGGAGATGGATTTGGCTGCGTGCTAATACCAGGTCGCAGATCTCAGGATCACCCCACCAGGGAATGAACAAGCTGGAAACCAAAAGCGAATCAAACAGATTAGGGATCAAACAGAAGCGGAGTCAGTCACAAGCCAAGGGTTGGTCACAAATGGTAGTAGATAGGATGAGGCAGAATCGTAGTCAGTAGCAAGCCAAAGGTCGGTAACGAAGATGTAGACAGCAGCAGGAACGGTAAGCGGGATATTGGCTGGGAAGGCACAATAATCTGGCAAGGAGGAAGTGTATGGAAGAAGAAGTTGTGAGCGCTATGAAAATTAAAGCAGCCACAGCATCAAAAGGGATACCAATAAACCTTATACAGACATAAAATATAAAAGATGCGGCGCTATATAGCAAATATTAGAGTGAAAAAACATCTAAGATAACAATATAGTGGTTATGTGAGTAATGTGATCTCAAACACTATGTCACAAGCAGAGTAACATGCAGTGCAAAAACAGTCTTTGTGATAATTTTCTTCAAAGTGCTGCTTCCATGCGGTGAACGTGAGAAGGATAAGGCTGTGCACTCACCAGATGCACAGTGTAACTGCGCATTTAGAGATAATATATCTCTACAAGATCCACCGGTAGCTTCTAAAGATCAGATCAAGCCAGATACTCCTCCACCCACTGGATGTTGCTGATAATCCACGGTCTCTCTCTTGAGTGGCTCTATAGGTGATAAGTGACTCACCAAGGGCCCTATGTTCCCTATGTTGCAAAGCTTAGCCTTAAACAGAAGTATAGCAATATATATTGAGACAGAAATACCAGTAAACCTTATTGTGAACCTGTGAACCCTATAAGCCCTGATGCCACAGGCAAAATAATAACACAATATGCTAAATATGGGTAGGAGTTCCCCTTTAAATGACCAAGTTATAATTTAGCAGTACTAATACACAGTCAGCAATCAACCTGTGGATGGGGTCCCTTTGAATAAAGGAGTCCTAGAGGTGAGTGTGTTCCTCAATTCCTCAGCCTGCTTATGATGGGGCACAGATTTATCACAGTGCAATTAAAAGGAAATCCACTGCATAAGATCAGGCTCTTAGCAGTGCAGGATGCTATACGATTGCCTCCT